CCAGACGAGAAAGGTGAGTAAACCCTGCAAGGGCAGGGACCTTGCCCGCTTTCCCCCCCGTTTTGTGTCCTCAGCACCCAGCCCGGGGCAATAAACATTAGGTGGGCATCCGAGGCAGAGCACGCCTTTGCAGAGGCTGGGTGTGGAATGGTGCGGCGTGAGGGGGCAGAGCGCCAGGCACTGAGAGCTCGGCTTGAGGCTGGGTGTGCGGCAGAGGCCTGAGAGGACGAGATGCCGTTGCTCTCCTGTGTTCTCCCTTGTCCCTGAAGCTCATCGAGACGTGCGAGCACCATGGCTTTGGGGCACCCCCACCTGGGCACCCCTGGGTGAGGGACGAGCGTGGGGATGGGGACCTGGCCTCCCACCCACTTCCATCCGCATGTGGTGGGGAGTGTCTCAGGTGTTTGGAAGGGCCCTTGGGGAGGAGACTGCAGGGGCCCTGGGTGGAGGCGTGAGGCTGGGGAGCCAGGCAGGGCGTGTGCCCGCGCGCCCCAGTGGGCGCATGGGGTCAAGCCAGCCTTGCCTGTGCGTGAAGATGGTTTCCTTGCTGCCTCGCTGGGAACGTCCCATCTCTCTATTCTGCCTGGGTCCTGTGGGTCGAAACTAGCCATTTCCACACATCCTTGATTCTTGATCATTTACCAGACTGCTGCCTCCTGGTGCCCTGCCCCCACCAGAACGGCCAGTGGCCGTGGCCGCTGCCAATCACTCATTGACCCTGAATGCAGGGTTCCCAGGCGTGGCCAGGGCTGCTCCTTTATCCACAGCCCCAGTCCCATCCGTCCCCACAGAGTTAAGCGTGAGCCCTGCCCCCGCTGTCCCCTCCCTCACAGGGACATCTTGGCCCCCTCCCCCCACCCCTGGCTTGCTTTGTTCAACACAGAGCCCAACTCCTGCCCCCAAATCCCCATCCTGGTTCACCCAGTTCCTCAGACTCCAAGAAGTTTTCTTTTCTCTGTATTTGACTTGTGATATTGTGACTTATAAGAAATACAAATTCGGTTCTTGTTACCAGTCCTGGCACAGGGCTGCTAAAGCTGGGAATTGAGAGTGACAAAGGTATCTTGTTATGTTACCACGTTGACTTTTGAAAGCCCCTTGGTCACCTAAGGATTGTCACGGGACTGGACCAGGTGCCATGTGTCAGAGGGCTGGAGCTGAGTCCCACCCAGGGCCTCCCAGGAGAGGCCTGGAGGGCGAATCGGTCACCGGTAGCTGAGGAGTTCATGTGGGGCCTGTGTAGGGAAGCTCCGGGCTGTGGACGCGGGGAGGTGTGGCGGGGGCACCTGGGCAGGGCCTGGCAGCTCCGTGCCCGTCCCCGTCCCAGTCCCCGTCCCCGTCCAGGCCCCGCCATCTCCTCCATCAGGCTGCGGCTGAGCTTCAGCCTGCAGCGCAAGGCAGTGACCTGGCACGTGGCGTTTCTCTGGGTGCTGCAAGTCACTCCAGCAAACTCATCGAACCGGAGAAGGGGTGGTGGGAACCTCTGATGCGTCGTCGCCCGTTGTGGGTCAGAAGTGCCGGTGACGCTGAAGTAGGACAGAGCCCTTAACCTGTGGGCAGCGGCGCCGCCTCCAGAAGGCGTCAGGATTGAGCCGAACTGTGGGACGCCCAGCTGGTGGCAGAGAACTGCCTGCTGGCGCAGGGAGGAAACCCCGGGTCGGACCTCAAGTCGGAATCGTAGCCTTTAAAATACAAGTGGTTTAATTTGCACAGAGAAAAGGGCCCATATCGTGGATACACAACTCGGGGACTTTTTTCACCCAGAATAGCGTCCGGATCCGGAGACTGAACCTCCCAGCCCTCTGCGTGGCCCCTCAGGTTGCCACCTGTGCCTGAGGGCACCCCCTCTCCCAGTGGCCTGCCATGCGGCAGGCAGAGCAAGGCCCCGTATCCACCTGCTAATCCCGGGACCTGGGAACGTAGTACCTCGCTTGGCGAAGAGGAGTTGAGTTTGCAGATGGAATTAGGGTTGCTAACAGGCTAACTCTGACATGGGAGATGCCCCTGGGTTACTTGTGGATCCCAAAGCAATCTCAGGGGTCCTTTTAAGAGGGAGGCGGGAAGGGAGAACAAGGGACCATGGTTCCCGAGGGACCATGCGGTGCCTCCGAAGCTGGAAAAGGCACAAAAACACATTCTCCCCTGGGGCTTCCAGAAGGATCGCAGCCTTCTGGAAGCCCCACGGGAGCTTCAAGGTTAACATCAGGTTAACTTCAATGTTAACCTGGCAAGATCCTTTTCAGACTTCTGACCCTCAAAACTCTTAAGAGAATAAATCTGTATTGTTTTAAGTCACAAAATTCAGCAGCCACAGGAAACCAATATAAGCATCCTAGATAGGTTTTGCCTGGAGTTGAACTTGACATAAATGGGATTGCACAGGCCTGCTTCTCTTCTTTTGGCTCCTTTCTTAAGGGTATTCAGCTCTTGGGGGCTCTGCCTCCACAATGTCCTCGGGAATGTCCGCCCACTTACCGCACCTGGACAGCCCACAGCGCCCCCTGCAGGCCTCCCCCATACTTCCTGCACGGCACCCCGTAACCCATGGCTTGCTGTCTCGTCCAAAATATAAGAGCCACAGAACCCCAGGCTCCACAGGCAGAAGTGTAAAATGGTGCGTCCCCCCAGAAAACAGTTTGACAGTCGCTCATAAAGTTAAGCACGAGACTGTCCCGCGACCCAGCAGTCCCATTCCTGGGACTGGCCCAGGAGGCCTGCAAGCTCCTAGTCACACAAGACCAGGATATGAGTGTTCAGAGCAGCTTTGCTCATGATTACCCCAAACGGGAACCATCTCAAATGCCCCCCAAGAAGTGAATAATAACCGATTGTGTTATATGCCTGTGGTACCTGCAGTTCCCTATTTAAAAGGAAAGCTGCTATAGTAGATGTGACAACATGGATGAGCCTCAAAAACATGGTGCAGAGGGAAAACAGCCAGACACAGACATGGAGAGTCTGTGGTTCCATTTATGTGAAATTCTGGAACAGGTAAAAGAGCTTCCTCGCAGGCCCTCTTCTCCATCTGACAGGCACTCCCACCCCAGTGCAGATGGGAAAAACAAATTGGCACATCCCTGGCCTGTGTGGCTCAGTGGGGTGGGTGTCATTCTGCAAACCCAAAAGTCGCCGGTTTGATTCCCGGTCAGGGCACATGCCTGGGTTGTGGGCCAGGTCCCTGACTGGGGGCACATGAGAGGCAACCGAAATTTCTCTTGCACATCAATATTTCTCTCCCTCTTTCATCCTCCCCCTCTCTCTCAAAGTGAATAAATAAAATAATTTTTAAAAAATTGGCACAGGGTGTCTTCTGGATGGCCGAGTGGGCAATCAGCTGGGAAAAGGTGTGGGAGAACTTGGTGGGAAAACAAGAATGTTTGTGGTGGGAGGTTGGGTTACACAGGTACGTGCATTTGCCAAAACTGAGCAACTGTACACTCAAGATCAATGCATTTTGCTCTAGTAAAATTTACCTTGAAAGAAAAAAAAAAAAAAAACCAGCCATGAGCAAATATTGAACCCTAGTTATGACTTGCATGCTGAAATACTCAGGGGTAATATGGCTTTGCTGCTGCTTTTGAAATGCACCCAGAAAAATCAGATTGGCGGCTGGGTTGAGGGATGGGTGGAAGCACAGGCAGGTGTGTGATGGAGCATTTGGGGCAAAGTGTCAGTGGCAGAACGAGCAGGACGTTCCCTGTGAACTCAGCTTTCCCGTTGGGACCATCCCCTACTTCGTGCCCACAGGCCCTGCCCAGCGCCCTCCCCGCCCCCCCCCCGCCCCCTCGCCTGCTCTGCTTCCGCCACACAGGCTTTCCTCCGGATCCCCAGCACGTCGAGCGGAGTCCTGCCCCAGGGCCTTTGCCCAGGCTGCTTAGGTCTCTGGGAAGCCCCTCTGTACCGCCGCCGCCCTCCCCCACGTAAAGTCAGGCCTCCGCACCCCTAGGTCTCCGCTCAGATGGTCTCCTCAGAGAGGCCTTCCTTATGCCCCTTTTAAAGTCAATGCCACCCTGATTTTTTCCCACTAGACCACATCACACTGTGTTATTTCATTTATTACAAATCTATTTATTTGCATATCGGTTGCCCCTCCTGCTCAGCTGGGAGCTCTGTGGAGGCAGGGATGTGTCTGCTTTGTTCCTGGCTGTGTCCTCAGCACCCAGCCCAGGCTGGCATGTAGAAGTCACTCAGAGAACATCTTATGGAGGGAAGTGGGGGGTGGAGGGGCAGATGAGCAAAGGAGTGAACAGACTTCCCAAGCGGGGGCTGGTGTGAGGATTGGGTGCTTGTCTTAAGACCCTGAGGAAGGGAGGGTCTGCGTGGGCTGCCGGGGCAGCTGGGCTCGCGACAGGCTGGTCCCCCGCAGCTCTTGGTGGAAAGCTCAGCGTCCCTTAGTTACTGCGCCATTGTCCCGAGAGCTCCGTCTTGCCATTGGTTCTCCTGCGCAGCTGCTGCCCGTGGTCTGGGGTAGCAAAGGAGACAGCGGACACTCACACCTCCTGGGGAGCCCCCCTGGGGAAGGGTGGCTGGGGAGGGAAAAGCAGATTTCCTTAGATTCTCCATCTTGGGGCTGCGTCCAAGGCACCTTCCCACAATGGCAGGAAATCTTCCTGGACATTGGAGAACTCAAGGCTGTGACCCTGCCCAGCCACCCCGTTCACTCTGGGCCATCATTTTCTTGTCTGTAAAGTGCAGAGTAGTAACTACTGCCGTGGGCGGTGTTGGCAGGAGTCAGCGGGCCTCAGGCTAGGCACTTTGTGAGCCTGGCCAGGCTTGAGCTGAGAGGTAGACACATCCTGCCCTGGGCGTGTAGGTGAACTTCAGGTTCAGAGAGGTCAAGTCATTTGCCTGAAGACACCCAGGCCAAGTTTATCCTTAACCCCTGCTGTAATGAACTCCAGGTTGCCAGGCATCGGGGGAGCGAGGGCCAGGTGATGGGCCCCCCAGTGTCACCCAGCCTGCAGGCTGGGCCCTCCCTTAACGGGGCCATCTGTCCGCAGGATGTGGTCCAGTCTGAACGAGTGGCTGTGGCAGGACAGGTTCTGGCTACCACCCAACAGCTCGTGGGCTGACCTGGAGGACCGGGACGGCCTGGTCTATGCCCACCCCCGGGACTTGCTGGCGGCCCTGCCCCTGGCGCTGGCCTTGGTGGCCGTGCGCTTCACCTTCGAGAGGTGAGTGTCCCTCGTGGCTGGTGTTGCAGTGTCGGCCTGTGCTGCGGCCTTCGCGTGGTTTTGTCCTAATGTGTCCCTGGCTTTGAACCAAATTCCTCCTCCTCCATCCCGCCCCCAGCTCCACCACTCAAACTGCTCTGGCCTCTGAGCGCGGCTTCTGGGAACACTGGCCATACACCGAGGGGTGCGGCCTGGAGGGCATGCGCCCCCTCGATGGCCAAGGACAGGCCTGCGAGGCAGGTCAGGCAGCAAGCAGAGAACCTCCTGCCCACTCGTTTCCTGCCTTCCTCAGCCGGCAAGGCAGCCCCTCACCCTTACCGCCCCTTCATGCCCCGCTCTGCCCAGCCCCCATTGTTCCTGTCTCCCTCCCTCCTCCTCGGGGCCCTCTCCGCTCAGCCCCAGCCTCCTGCAGCCTGGCACCAGCGGAGTCTATGCCCCCTGCCCTCCCAGCAACCTCTGGTTGCCAAACCCGGTGGATTCCCAGTCCTTTCTCCAGTGACCCAGATGCTGATCCATCGGAACGGGTTTTCTCCCTCTTCCCCTGGGCATCCTTCTCCAGGGCGTAGGCATCCCTCTCGGGGTCCCTCCCCTCTGTCCCAGGTAGTCCCACCCTTTCCCCTGTGCCCAGGGCTGTGATCACAGCTCCTCACTGTCCGCCCCCTCCCAAGGTTCCTTTGAGGCTGAGGGCCCTCCCCTTTCTCCACGCACACTTCCTCCTCCGCTCCTCACACCTGGTCCTGGTTCGCCATCTTGGCTGCCACCTGGCCTTTGCACAGGCTCCCTGCAGCTCCTTGGAGGCTGAGCTCCCGGGAGGCCTGCCCTGCCCCCTCCCCCCACGGAGCCCTTAACCCCTCCCACCACGGGGGTCTCCCCCTGACCACGGGGGCAGGGAAGCAGTCCACTTACTGCTTTGTGTCACCCACTCGGAAGGAGCTCCGGCGGCGGGGTGGGGGGGTTCCCCGGACACGGGGACTCGGGGACGCCCACTGACGAGTTTACTTACCAGGCGCCCTTCGAGCACCTCCCTGTTCCAGCCACTGCTCTGAGCAGCTGGTGTGTCCTAATCCACTCTGCGCTGCTGTTACCGTCTCCACCTCACAGAAGAAATGGAGGCACAGAGAGGTCGCATGACCTGCTTGATGTCACACGGGGGATAGGCCAGAGGGGACTGAGGCTTTGCCCGAGGGATCCTGGGAGGCCCGGCGGGCCAGGCCTTGAGGGGTGTGGGGTGGGGAGTGGCGGGGGGCCCGCCCCGGTTCGCTGCTGGAGCCCAGAGCAGGGTTTGCAAGTCTAACTGGTGGCCCCAGCAGAGGTGGGGCGTCATTCCAAGGGCATCGGGTGGAGTGATGGGGATGAAATGCAGTCTTGACCCCTGGTCTGGGAACCCCCCTGGTGGGCAATGTGGTGATTGACCAGAGTCCAGCTCCTCCAAGTGTCGTCCCCACCCCCCCCCGAGTGGATGAGGCTGGGAGACCGGAGACATGAGCAGGAGCCGTAGCCCAGGCGGGGCCAGACCAGGACCTAGGCCCGCAGGACACAGGCAGTGAGGGGACTCTGACCCCTAGTCTGGGATTAGCTTGAATGACGGTGATGGGGCCAGCCCAGCTCCGTTTCCTACACTCCGTCGACGCAGCAGCCAGGCCGTCCCCCAGGGTCCCAGGACACGGCCTGGCCCTGCCCAGTCTGGTTCACCGCCCGTAGCGTGCGTGTCCCTCCCCCCGCCCCCCCCCCCCCGGCCTGATGAGCCCTGTGTCCTGCCCTCAGACTTGTCGGCCTGCCCCTGAGCCGGTGGCTGGGTGTGCGGGACAAGGCCCGGAGGCCGGCGCAGCCCAACGCCACCCTGGAGAAGCACTTCCTCGCGGGAGGACACAGGCTGCCTGAGGTGAGGCCCCGCCGCCCGCCGCCCTCCTCGTCCCCGCCTGCCTGCGTGGCCCCTGTGTGGATGGGGCCTGGGGGTGGCAGGCGGCCCACTTGATGGGGACAGAGAGAGACCGGGGCAGCCTACCCCCCGCCCACCAGACCCCAGTCAGTGAGCCCCCCCGGCAACGCGCAGCCCCTGGGAATGGAGAGGGTCAGGGGGACGGGCGCCCCTCCTGTCCCGGGGGAGAGCGGAAGGCCTGCGCGTTCCGGGGGCTCTGCAGTCTTGTGACCCCCTCAGTTCCGTGTGCGGGTAGCTGCCTGCTGGGCAGGTCCAGGCTGGTCCTTGGGGAAGAGGGAAGGCAGAGGTCTTTCAACCCTGGGCGCGGGGCTGCAGCTCCTGCAGGACGGAGAGCCTTATGATCCCTGTCCCTCATCAGTGCCCCTGCAGGCAGGGGTGGGGGACAAGGTCTCGGCTGCCTGCCCGGAGCAGGGGTGAGACCACACTGTTCTGGGGGGTGCAGGAAAACCTCTGTGGGGAGCTGCTCCTGGCCCCCATCGGGCCTGTGAGCAGGGCTGGGTTCTCATTCAGGCCCGACTCTTCCGGGGGCTCCACCCCGTACTCCCCTACTTCCCGGTCTTCACAGGTAGGCAGCTCCACAGGTCGGGACGGGGCAGCAGAGCTGGGCCCCACCTGTCCCCGGACGGGAGTGGGAAGCCACCTCTGTGACCCTGGCCCTTATCCCCCCTCCCCAGCCTCAGATGGCTGTCCTGGCCACCCAGTGTGGCCTCACACTGAGGCAGACCCAATGCTGGTTCCGAAGACGCCGCAACCAAGACCGGCCTTGCCTGACCAAGAAGTTCTGTGAGGCCAGGTCAGGCAAGGCCGGTTCTGTGAGGGTGGGGCTGTGGGGGGGAGGGTCTGCTCTGTCAGCAGCTGCCTCATGGGCTCCCTCCCTGTCTGCAGCTGGAGATTTGTCTTCTATCTGTGCTCCTTCTTTGGTGGCCTCTCGGTCCTCTGGCACGTGAGTGTTCCTGACGGCTCCCCGGCTTTCCGCCTGCCCCCAAGCACCCTCTGTGGGCCGGGCGGCGTGGGGCCAGGGGCGTGCAGGCGAGTGGGCAGAAGGAAAGGAAGCGTGTGCACAGAGGAGAGAATTCAGGGAAGCCAGGCAGATGTTCCCTTTGCAGGAGCCTGTGGGGCCCTCCCATGGGTGGGGCTGGGGTCAGGCAGCGAGTGAGCGCCTGGTCTGGAGTGAGAACAGAGATGTAACCGGGAGGGACACAGCAGAACCAAGGGCCAGGGGAGCCCCAAGGAGGCCCTGGGCCCTGGGGGAGGGGCTGGGGCCTGACCTTCGGGCAGCCTCACATGCCTGTGTCCTCACAGGAGTCATGGCTGTGGAGGCCAGTGACGTGCTGGGACAGTTACCCGAATCAGGTGAGTGACAGGGGTTGCCTGGAGCTGGAGGGAGGATCGGGGTGGTCAGAGTTCGTGCGGCCAAGGGTAGCAGAGCCGGACCCGGACGAGACACTATAGTCCCCTCCACGTCCTGCTGTCTGTTCCGGCCTCCCCCACATGACGGAGAGGGGCTGGGCATCAGGAAACTTGGAGGAGGAGTGGACACGAAACCCCTGCCCTTGATTACCTCCAAGGATAGGGAGCTCACACCTTCTCTCACTGGGATTCCAGTGTCCTGGTTTGGGGCACACTCGGGAAGGCCCTGAGGGAGTTCCCACCCCCTCAGCTAACCCTGCCCCACCGCCCTGTACAGCCCCTGAAGCCGGCCCTTTACTACTGGTACCTCCTGGAGCTGAGTTTCTACATCTCCCTGCTGATCACTCTGCCCTTCGACATCAGGCGCAAGGTGAGGCCCTGCCAAGGGTCCCACGGGGGAAGGGATGCCCTGCAGAGTGAGGGTCCGGTTTCAGTTGGGGAAGGAAGGCCTCACCAACCCCTGGAGATCCCCAGGCAGGAAGTGTGGTGCCAACCAAGCCCCTAAGAGGGCCCCGCCCACCCTGGCTACCAGCCTCGGCCTGGCAGTGACCCGCCGTCTCTTGCAGGATTTCAGGGAGCAGGTGGTGCACCACGCCGTGACCATCACCCTCGTCACCTTCTCCTACAGCTCGAACCTGCTGCGCATCGGCTCTCTGGTGCTGCTGCTGCATGACGCCGCGGACTACCTGCTGGAGGTGGGCCCAGCCCCCCTCTCAGAGGCCCTGTGCGGCCTCCCCGGCCAGTAGATAAGGCGCCACCCCTCTCAGCTGTCCAGTGAGGTGAGGCCCGCCCACTCAGCTTCCAGGGAGAGGAGACTTCACCCCAGGCAGCCTTGCTGGTGGATGAGTCCCAGCCCCTCTGTCTCGCTGAGAGGTGAGGCCCCGCCCTCTCAGGGAAATGAAGCTTCTCCGAGACCACTTAGCCCCTTTCTTGGCAGTTCCTGGAGCTAAGCCTCACCCCATGGTGCCTTTTCCCCTTTTCCCGGGAAATGCCCCTTCCCACCTGGTTCCCCGCCACCCCCACCCACCACCTGAGTCCTTCCCTTTCTGCTGTCTTCCCCAGGCCTGTAAGATGTTAAACTATGCGCATCACTGGCGCTTGTGCAACTGGCTCTTCATGGTCTTCTCCTTGGTCTTCTTCTACACCCGTCTGGTGCTTTTCCCCACCCAGTGAGTCAGCCCTTTGGGGGGCGCGGGGCAGGTGGGGGGCGCAGCCGGACCCAGGCCTACCTCGCCCTCAGTTCCGGCCCCGGGAGCAGGGGGTGTTAGTTGTGAGGCTTCCAGGAGTCGGCACAGGAGGGCTCCGTGTCCCCAGCCCGCAGCACAGCGAGGGCCCGGAGGTGAAAGGGACAGAAGCTGGCTCAGCCCTTGTCCCCTGGGTGCCTGGGACATGGGATGGGTGGCAGGGCCGGCCGCCAGCTCCCTGAAGTCTTTGCCCAGGGTATTTATTCACTGAGCCGCTCCCAGCAGGAGGAGCGATGTGAAGATCTCTGCTCACTTGGAGCTGACACGGGGAGGATTAAATAAATAAAGCAAATAAGTGGAACATAGAGCGCACAGGGAGTGGTGATCGTGTTAACGAGAAGGTACAGACAGGCACACGAAGTGCGTGGGTAAACTGGAATTGCAGGGATGGCCGGGAACGGCGTCTCTGGCAGTGTTCATGCAGAAAGGCCGCGGTGAGGCGAGGGAGCCATGCTGAAGAGAGCGGAAGAGGCTTCCGGGCAGTGGGAACAGCACAAGCAAAAGCCTCGAGGCTGGGCTGTTCTGGTTTGTGGGGGAACAGCAAGCCCATATGGCAGGAGCAGAGCAAGCTAGGGGAAGGGAAGGGACAAGACTGGCTGTGCAAGGCCTCATGGGCCGCGGGAAGGACTTGGGTTTTCATCCCAAGCTAAGTGGAGGAGGATCCTGAGTACAGGAGGGAGGAGACCTGACTTGGGTGCTCACGTGCGCCCTCTGGTGGCCACAGAGAGACAAGCTGGTGCGAGTGCCTCCCCCCAGCCAAGAGCTGGGGGGGCCCAGACAGACGCTGCTGTGCTGAGCGATGATGGGACTGAGCCAGTGCAGGTGAGAGAAGTGGGGGGACCTGGGGAACCACTCAAGGGTCATGATGTGGTTTTGAGCTCAGAGTTGTTCCTTGAGGATCAGGGGCTCAGCTCTGTTCAGAAAAGTCGGAGAGGAAACAGTGGGCACACCAGCTTGGAGAGATGTGAATGTCCGGTGTTTGCGGCCATGAGACTGGAGGGGTCATGCAGGGACCAGGTGTGGACAGAGATGTTTACCGGTCATGGGAGCCTGCAGAGGAAGCAGCCGTGACCCGGGCAGGCGGGAGCGCGGGCCCCGAAGGCACCCCAGGGAAGGGCCTCAGGGAGCAGGGAGGGCCAGCGGGGAGCCAGGCCGGTCCCTGGTGGCCTTGCAGCTGACCTTGGTGAGGGTGGCTAGCGGGGAAAGCCTGCTGAGTCGGGGAGGAAAAGAGCCTGAGAAGAGAAGGAAAGGAGCGAAAGGACCACCGAGGAGAGCAGCTGGAATACTGAGTGCCCCCTTGGGGCTCATGGCTGTGCCCAGTTGTAGGTATCTGCTGTAAGCTTGTGCGATCTCATTTAACGTGTAACCAAGCGAGGGGGGCACTTAAATGCCCAGCTGAAGAGCATAGGTATTATTCTGGGGGCAGTAGGGAGCCGTCGGGAGTTCTGGAGCAGGGGAGGCCCCAGAAGTTCGAGCTCCCTAGGACCAGGGGCTGGAGCTGCTGGTGAAGCCCACAGCCCCCTCCTGTCTGCCCGCCCGCCTCAGGATCCTCTACACCACGTACTATGAGTCCATCGCCAACTCGGGCCCCTTCTTCGCCTATTACTTCTTCAACTTACTCCTGGTGATGCTGCAACTGCTGCAAGTGTTCTGGTTTTGCCTCATCCTTCGTATGATCCACAGCTTCATGAAGAAAGGCCAGGTAGGGCCAGGTGCAGGTGGGCTCCCGCGTGCTGTCCTGGAGCCCAGCCGAGCCCCGCCCCAGCCTCATGCCCCTTGTCTGTTTCCCAGATGGAGAAGGACATTCGCAGTGATGAGGAGGAGTTGGACTCGAGCGATGGGGAGAAAGCCCAGGAGCATCCGCAGCTCAAGAACGGGGCAGCTCAGGGGCCCAGGACGGCCCCTACTGATGGCCCTCGGAGCCGGGCAGCGGGGCGGCTGGCCAATGGGCACACTTTGGCCACGTAGCTGGCCAAGGACTGACTGTGGGGTGGCTGCATTGGTGGCTCTTGGGCCAGCTCTGTGGAGACAGGAGGGCCCCGGCCCCAGGGCTGGGGACGCGCCGATGATCTGTCTGCAGCCCCTTCCTTGGGCATACGCGGCGGTGGGCGGCGGCAGGGTGCTGCGGCCGCCGGAGCTGCCACTGGGCTGCAGTCCAGGGACTATGAAGAGCTCCGGGGTGAAAGGAGTCCAATAAAACTTGAACAGAGCCAAATCCTCTGCCTGAGTTTGTGTCCCTGTCACAGCTCCTCAGACGCCCCAAGGGAGCCAGGACTCCGTTTACATACTCCCTGACAGGGAGCACTCACTGCCACCCAAGACACATGCTTGGTCCCAGGGGACCCAGACAGCAAACAGCCCTTGGAGACTCCCCCAGGCAAGTTCCTGAGTTCCAGCCAAAGCCTTAGCCAAACCACCCCCTTCCACCCCAGGGCAGCCTTCAGCCAGCTTGTCACAGACCCAGCTCACAGATGACTCTGCCTGAGGTCACAGAGGTCAGAGGCCAAGCAGGAGGGCAAAGGGGAGGTCCATGCCTAGCCTTGCAGCCCTTGCTCCGTGCTCTCTGGGCCTCCCTGGGGGGAGAGAGAGGGCCCATGAGTAGGGACTCCCGTGGGCTTCCCAAGGGTCAGCCTGGGTGAGGTCACTCTCGTCCAGAGCCCTGCAGGAAGGCATTCCCCTCTTCCCCAGCTGAGACAGGCTGAGGCACGGTGTCCCATACACCAGAAATCCCAGCCACAAGGCCCCATGCAGGGCCGGAATATCCTGTCTTCAGGGGGACAGCAGAAAGGTGAGTTACAGAAAAGAAGTAGTAGGAGTTAGCAGAGGAAGGACACTGTGGGGACAAGGGGGAGGGCAAATGTGTTACAGACAAAGGGCAGGCTGCAGAGAGAACAGGATCAAAGAGGAGCAGATCTGAGAAGAAATGGCGAAGAGAGGTGGCGGTGGAAGAGGGAAAGGAGGTCAGAGGGACAGGAGAGGCGAACAAAGACTGCCCTGGACAGACTCGGCTGCGGGGCCTGAGAGGGAAGGTGGAAGGCGAGAGAAAGGGTGCGGGTCTGGTCCTCTGCAAACGGGAGAATGGACATGGAGTCACATGGCAGAGGGGAGAAAGGCCTCTGCTTCGGAGAGAGAGAGAGAGAGAGAGAAAAGAGAGGTGGTCAAGCCCTGATCCGTGGGGCTGTTGGTTGGGCATCATCGTGCAAAGCGAAAGGTCACTAGTTTGATTCCCAGTCGGGGCACATGCCTGGGTTGCAGGTTCGGTGTGACTGATCAGTGTTTCTCTCTCTCTCTTCCTCCCTACCCCTCTCTCTAAGATAAATAAAAGCTCTTAAAGAGAAAGGTGTTGGAAAGAGGAACTACAGAGGGGAGAGGGAACAGATAGCAGAGTGTCAGACTCCACTGGAACAAGAAGCAAACAGGACAAGAGGAAGAAGGGAGGGAAAGAACCCCTGGGGAGAAAACAGCAAAGAGCAGACTTGGAGCTTGGAGAGAAAATGGGTGAGAGAGAAGGACTTGTGAGAAGGTGGACAGACCTGGAGGAAGAAAGTGTGAGAAGATTGAGAAATGGCAAAAGAGACAGAAGAGAAAAAAGGTATAACAGGGTTGTCAAATAGAAATGTGAGAGTAAATAGTGAGAGAGAAAAGTAGATCCTGAGAGGAGGGAGACATGGGATGAACAGGTTGCTCAGAGGGGAAAGATGCAATTGGCCTTGAAGCAAACCAGAAAGACGCTCCACAGCTCCCTGGGCAGTGTGGCTCAGCTGGTTGGAGCATCCCTCCATAACAGAACGGTTGCTGGCTCGATCCCCCGTCTGGGTGCAGGTGCAGGTGCAGACAACCCTCCTCTGCCCTTCCCAGCCCATCTCCACCCCCACCCCCACCCCCATCCAGACCTTGTAGTTGTCTGGGCAGGTATGGGAAGCAACAAATAGATGCTTCTCTCTCCCATCCATCAACGTTTCCCTCTGGTCCTTCCTTGCTATCTAGAAGCAACTGAAAAGTGTCCTCTGGTGGGGATTTAAAAAAAAAACCAAAAACAGTTTAAAGATGCTTAACATTAAAAAAGTGCAAATTAAAATGTTGCGTTTCGCCCTGGCTGGTGTGGCTCAGTGGATTGAAAGCCGACCTGCCTGCCAGCCAAGAGGTCGCCTGTTCCATTCCCAGTCAGGGCACATGCCTGGGTTGCAGGCCAGGTCCCCAGTAGGGGGCGTGCAAGAGGCAACCACACATTGATATTTCCCTCCTCCCTCCCTTCCCCTCTAAAAATAAATGAATAAAATCTTAAATTTTTTTTTTAAAAAATGTTCCTTTCTCGCCAGCTATCTCGCAAAAGCGACGGTGACAGCGCCCTCTGGTGGTGAGACGTGCAGGGCCCGTGGAGCCGCTCGGGGGCGCCCCAGGGAGGAGTGCTGGGCGGCGCGTGGGGAGGACGAACGCCTTTCCTCTTTATCCCTGAAGGCGCATCTAGATCTCCCTGGTAGGCCTACAAATCGGTAGGAAAAGGGTAACCAACCTAAAAAGAAAATGAGAAAAAAGACACAACGCACATTTTTAGAAGAGAAGTCGCAGCCAATAAACACACAAAGACATGATCACTCAATTTCATAATCAGGAAAATGCCAAGCAAGACTGACATACCATTTTAGACCCCATTCAGTTCGCAAAAATAAAGACATTGGACAAAGTCAGTGTTGGAGAATAAGAATCCCCGGTGTTATTGGGGAGAGTGTAAACTAAAACAATCACTTGGAAAGCCATTCAGCATCATGTAAAATTGTTGGCCATTTTATACAGTTCAAGGGCAACAAACAAAATGATGTATTGTTTAGGCATAAATATCGGGTAGACTATTAGTAGTCCTTCCTTATCCAAAATCCTCAGCGAATGCCTAAAACCACAGATCGTAGCAAATCATATATACGTACTATTTTTTATAAAGATTTTATTTATTTTTAGAGAGGAGAGAAGGAGGGGGAAAGAAAGGGAGAGAAACATCGGTCAGCTGCCTCTCTCACGCCCCCAACCAGGGTCCTAGCCCACAACGCAGGCCTGTGCCTTGACCGGGAATTGAACCGGTGACCTTTCATTCTGCAGGGTGATGCCCAACCTACTGAACCACACCGGGGCTGTACTACATTGTGTTTACTTTCGGAATTTTCCACTTAATATTTTTGTGCTACAGTTGACCACAGGTAACTGAGACCACAGAGAGCAAAACTTCAGGTAAGGGGTACTGCTGTCCTTCTTTAATAAAATATAAACAAAATTCAAAAGACGGTTACATCACCTCTGATCTGGGGAAGCAGGGGAGTGGGATTCGGGCAGGTATAAATTACTGTCACTGTTCTGGCTTTTGAAGTCATGAGGTGTGGTGGCAGATGCATTATTAAATACAATTTAAAAGGGATATGCAGTCAAGAACCATATGACTTCACTCATGGGGTATAAAACAGCTCCATTAGCTGGAGCATCGTCCTGTGAACTGAGAGGTCACGGATTCAGTTCACAGTTAGGGCACAGGCCTGGGTTGCAAGTTCAGTCCCTGGTTGGGGTGCATCTGAGACTCAGCCAATCAATGTTTTTCTCTCACATAGATGTTTCTCTCCCTCTCCCTCCCTCCCTCCCTTCCCCTCAAAGTTCAGTGAGCATGTTCTCAGATGAGGAACACACACACACACACACACCTGTATATATATACAAATATATAGATATAAAACTGAAAGCAACAAATGACCAAAGAAGACAAACAAAACTCCCAGACACAACAGTATGGTGGTTACCAGAGGGAAAGGAGGTGGGGAATAGTGAAGGGCAGAGGGGGTCGCGTGTCTGGTGACAGGAGACTCGACTTTGGGTGCTGGGCACACGATGCCACATACAGATGATGTATCATAGAATTGTACACTTGACACCTATATAATTTTACTAACCAATGTTGCCCCAATAAATATGATTTTAAAAAAGTTAGGGAATATGTGAAAAAACAAAGTATTTGCAAGTCATATATCTGAAAAGGGCCTAAAATCTAGAATATATAAAGAACTCTTACAAATCAACAACCAAAAAACAAAACAAAACCCAATTAAAGGATGGGCAAAGAACTTGAATTGTGTCTCCAAAGAAGATGTACAAATAGCTAACCACATTAAAAGATATTCAACAAGTCAAATGATGTTCCATTAAATCAAAACCACAAGAAACCTCTTCACATCCATAAGGATAGATATAGCAAAAAATAAAATAACTAGTGTCGGTGAAGATGTGGAAAAATTGGCACAACCATCATACATTGTTGGGAATATAAACTGGTTAATCATTGTGGAACACAATTTGGCAGCTCCTCAAAAAGTTGAGCAGAATTACCATATGACCCAGTTGAAAACAGGGACTCAGACAAAGTCTTGTATGTGACTGTTCACAGCGGCGCTACTCACAGTAGCCGAAAGCTGGAAACCACGCAAACGTCTATCAGCAGGTGAATGGGTAAATTGTGGTCCAGCCATACAATGGAATGTTACTCAGCCCTAAGAAAGAAATAGACATGCTGCAACACGATGAACCACAAAAACACTATTCTAAGTGAAAGAAGCCAGACAAAAAAGGCCGCACCCTTTATGATTCTTTTTAAGTGGAATATCCAGAATAGCCACACCTATAAAAATAGAATGCAGAGTGATAGCTGCCAGGGGCAGGGCGGAGGGGTGGGGAGAAGCGGAGTGACTGAATGACGGGTAGGCCTTCTTTGGCGTGGGCCTTAATGAAGAAGCCCCGTGCCCCCTTCGGCAGCACACACACCAAAATTGGGATACAGAGAAGATTAGCATGGTCCCTGCACAGAGATGACACGCAAATTTGTAAAGCATTCCATTAAAAAAAATTTTCCAAATATCTGTAAGGAAAAGAGCCACCCAAAAGTAAAGGGGCACACAGAGTACGAACAGGCAAGTCGCAGGCGAGTATGGCCCTAAGGAAGAAGATGCCTATTAAAAAGGGCTCAAACTAAAAACAAACAAAAAACCCAGAGCCTAGCAGCCATTTCTGCTTATCCACAGGGGCCTCTCACGCAAACCGCCCTCAGGGAGAAGCCCGCACGGCACTGCCCGCCCGCCCCGTGTTTCCGCCACCTGAGCCAGCCCTTATAACAGAGCTGCGGGAACCCTCTTTCAGCCACTGGAACTGAGGCTTTCCCCATCCGACCCGGGCTGTGCAGCTATGTGCCCTCATCAGCTTCTTCACCAGCCAATCAGGGTCGCTCTGCTTTGACCAATCAAGGCAGTGCCTTTTGACTAAACTTCAGTGATTTGAAGTCTTCATTTGGAGTCTCCAGTCAGGGACCGCGGGCAAGGACTTCCTCTGGCTTGGGGAGAGCAGTTTCCCTTTTTACCGAAGACTGAGTATCTCTGGCTGAGCCGAAACACTGAAAATGTCTCACCAGAGCAGACTGGTGCCGGCCAGAGCAGACTGGCACAGAACGGAGTGGGCATTAGAAGAGCTGTTTAGTAAGAGCTGTCTAATAAAATTAAAAGAGCTGTTTAGCTGGCGAGGGGCCAGGCCACCGGGCTACCTGACTCCAGGGCTGCCTCCCAGCTGTGCTGTCTCATAATTGAGCTGTTTTACACGAAATAAAGTTTCCTTCTTCACTGGACCCCAAATTGGGGATTCCTGTTGGCATTGAATTGGCCAACAGGTTGACAATGGAATTTTTAAAACATGGTCAAATGCAATGGAATTATTCAGTCTTAAAAAGGAAGGAAATTCTGACGCATGCTATGACGTAGATAAATTTTGAGGACATTATGCTAAATGAAATAAACCGGACACAAAAAGACAAACACTGTGTGATTCCACTTATGTGAGGTCCCTGGAGGAGTCAACTTTGTAGAGAAGGAAACTAGAATGGGGGGTGCCAGGGGCTAGAGGAAGGAGAAACGGAGAGTTATTTAATGGGCGCAGAGCTTCAGTTTTGCAAGATGAAAAGAGTTCTGGAGATTGATCACCCAACAACGTGAACACATTTCATGCTCTTGAAATGTTCACTTAAAAATAGTTAGGATGGTAATTTTTATGTTTGTGTATTTTTACTGCCATTTTTAAATATACAGGAAAAGTCAGTAAACTAGGAATAGAGGAACATTTACTCAACTTGATAAAGAACATCTACCCAAAACACTCTACAACTAGCACCCTACTCAACGGAGAGAAACTGAAAGCTCCCCTGCTAAGGCCAGGGCCAAGCAAGGAGCCCCTCCCACTGCTCCTCTTGAATTCCCACTGCGAGGTCTAGCCAGCGCAGTGAGGCAAGAAAAGCGGAGGGCTACAGGTTGAGAAGGAAGAGAGAAAGCTTTGTTCTTTATGACATGATCTCCCGTGTGATATCTCCATTTTGAAAATTGAAAAAAATCTCTTAAAAAATCCTCCTGGAACTAAGCCATCATAGCGTTGTTGAAGACACAAGGTTAATATACAAAAGTCAATCGCTGTCCTACATACCAGCCATGAAAAAGCGGAATTTGAAATGAAAAACACAATACTATTTACATTAGCCGCCGCCCCCCGCAAATTAAATACTTTGGTATAAATCTAACAAAACATGCATAAGTTCTATATGAGGAAAGCTACAAACTCTGACAAAAGAAATCTAAGAAGTAAAATGGAGACATATTCTATGTTCATGGAAAGGAAGACTCAATACTGACAAGATGTTAGTTCTTCCCAACTTGATCTAGAGATTTAATGCAATTCCAATCAAAATCCCAGAAACTGGGATTTTGTGGATATTAACAAACTGGGATTTTGTGGATATTTTGTGGATATTAACAAACTGGTCCTCAAGTTTATAAGGAGAGGCAAAGCCCCAAAATATATAACACAGTATTACAGGACAAGAACAAAGTTGGACTAACACTACACAATCTCAAGACTCACTGTAAAGCTATAGTAATCAAGACAGTGTGGTACTGGCACAAGTACAGACAAGGAGGTCAGCGGAGCAGAGCACCAAGAAAGAGGCCCACGTAACCACAGTCAACTCATCTTTGACAAAGGATCAAAGGCAACACAAGTAAATCAATCAATCAATCAATCAGTTAATCTAGATACAGGCCTTAAACCCTTCACAAATTAACTCAAAATGGACCACAGACCTAAACGTAAAATGCAGCCCTTTAAACTTCAAGAAGTTAACAGAGGAAGAATCTAGATGGACTTGGGTGTGGCAATGACTTTTTAGATATAACTTTAAAGGCATGATCCAAGAAAGAAAGAATTGATAAGTTGGACTTAATTAAAATTAAAAATTTCTCCTCTGTGAAAGACATGATACAAAGAGAGAGGAAGAAGACAGGTTCAGACTGGGAGAAAAATTTGGAAAAGACACCTGGTAAAGGACTGTTATCTAAGATACACAAATAACTCTTAAAACTCAACAATAAGAAAGTAAACAACCCAGAGAGAAAAAATGGGCCAGCCCTGGCTGGTGCGGCTCAGTGGGCTGAGCACCGGCCTGCAAACCAAGAGGTCACTGTTTGATTACCAGTCAGGGCCCGTGCCTGGGTTGCGGGCCAGGTCCTTGGTTGGGGGCATGCTAGAGGCAACTGATTGAACACGGATCAATGTATCCCTTGCACAACAATGTTTCTCTCCTTCTCTTTCTCCCTCCCTTCCTCTCTAAAAATAAATAAATAAAACCTTTAAAAAAAGAAAGAAAGAAAATGGGCCAAAGATCATTAAAGAACGTGTACAGACTTCAAATAAGCATGTGAAAACACATGTCATCACACATTATATGCCATCAAGGAAATAAATATAAATTGAAACTGCAATGATTCCTGGCCAGGTAGCTTGGTTGGTTGGAGTATCCCCACAATGTGCCAAGGTTACAGGTTCAACCCCTGGTCCGGGCACATGTAGAAGGCAGCCTGTGAATGCATGGATGGGTAGAGCAGCAAACGAATGTTTCTCTCTCTCCCTCTCTCAAATGAATAAATAAAATGTTTAAAAACTCAGTGAGATACCACTGCACAGCTGTCAGAATGACTCAAAATCTAGAATACTGACAACACCAAATGCCGGCAAGGATTGTGGAGCAGCAGGAACTGTCACTCAAAACACAAAAGGCACAGCCACTTTGGGAGATAGTTTGGTGATTTCTTACAAAACTAAACATTCTCATACCATACGATCCAGCAATTGTGCTCCTTAGTATTCACCCAATGGAGTAGAGAACTTATGTCTACAAAAAAACCGGCATGAGCCCTGGCTGGTGTGGCTCAGTGGGATGAGCGCTGGCCTGTGAACCAAAGAGTTGCTGGTTCGATTCCCAGTCAGGGCACATGCCTGGGTTGTGGGCCACGTCCCTGGTTAGTGGCATGCGAGAGGCAACCACACATTGCTGTTTCTCTTCTTCTCTTTCTCCCTCCTTTCTCCTCTCTCTAAAAAAAATAAATAAATAAAATCTAAGAAGAAAACCTGCATGAGAACATTTATGACAATTTTACTCATAGTTTTCAAAACTTGGAGACCACCAAGATGGCCAGTGGATGAACGGGTATCTAAGAGGTCAATCAGGTAAGAGTTGCAGTCCTGTTGTGATTTTCCTAGTACATCTTTATCTGTCAATCAACAAGTCTTATCTGCACCCCCCTCCGGGAACACAACGGCCCACATTCCGTCTCCACCCCTGGCAGACCCGCAGGGCGCGAAGGCTGGGTTGCTGCGGACATCCCGGGGTCGCATGGTTGTGCATTCCAGTCCCTGGAGTACATTTTCCACACACATTAATCACTTAGGCCTACTAACTATAGTTAAGGCTAACATGTCTTAATTCCTGATTTCCCTATCAATGTTATATTTGCAAACCCACAGATGCATAACACCAAGAGTGAGCCCAATGTAATCTATGGACTTTGGGTGCCTATGATGTGTCTGTGTAGGTTCATCCGTTGCTGGGGGGCTGTGCATGTTGTTGGGGCTGGAGAAACACCAGAACTCTCTATACCTTCTACTAAATTTGCTGTAACCAAAAACTGCTCTAGAAAATAAAATCTATTTAACATTTTTAAAAAGAGAGCTTCCCTAGTAATCAAGAAAATGCCCACTGAAATAGTCACAAGATTTATATTCTAACCATGAGGTTGGGAAAAAAAAAATTAAGTTTGATAATATCAAATGTTAATAAGATTGTGGGGAAATTGGTATTCTCCTGGGGCCGTTGATACAAGTTATTTTGGAAGACAGTAGGCACTAACAAAAAAAAAAAAAAAAGGGAAAACACACTGATGCTGACCTTGCACACCAGCACAGGCTGAGGATGCAGAGGCATGGCTTAGTGGCAAAAAAGGGTAAAGTACCTGAAAAGCTAATAATATGGAAATGTAGTAATAAAATGCACGTTCCAATATTACATATCACTATGCATGACAATCATATTGTCAACATGAATAGATAACAAAAACATTGTTGAGTAAAAGACATTTTAATAAGATGGAATGAACGGGGGAGTATACCATTCCTTAAAGGACAAAACTTAGAGGATTTAACAATCAAGTTTTATCAGCATCTCAAGTAGCAGATAATTCCCATCTTATCCAGGCTGACTCCAAAGATAGGAAAAAAGAGAACGAGATGGGGAGAATACCCAAGTTCTTTGAAGAGGATAGTACGTAACCTACAAACCAAAACCAGACAGGGCTACAACATGGATGAGCCTGGAAGGAAGCCAGACACAGAAGTCCACACAGCACAGGATTCTGTTTATAGGGAAAGTCCGGAACAGGCAACTCCACAGGCAGGAAGCAGGTGAAGGGTGAACAGAGCTGGCGGAGGTGGAGGGGGCCGGTAACGGGAACAATGCTCGAGGGGCTGGGGGTTTCCTTCAGGGAAG